AATGCTGTTGTAATGAAATGCTTCTTCTAAGTATATGGTCATTAAATAAATAATTTTTAAAAATATGGCAAAATTGAAGAGAAGGCTCAGTGGTTAAGAGCACTGGTTGCTCTTGCAGAGGGCTTGAGTTTGGTTCCCAGCACCCACATGGCAGCTAACAACTGATAACTACAGTTCCAGGGGATCAGACTCCTATTCTGTCCTCCATGGGCATCGCATGACATGAATGCACTTAAATACATGCAGGCAATACACTCATACACAAAAAAAATTTTTTTAATTTAAAAAGTATGGCAAAATGTACCCTTTACTGACTACTCCTCTGTCTTAATTTTCTCTATTTTCTTTTTCTTTGTAGTTTTTTTCTTTTTCTTTCTTTGAAAGTAATTCTCTCTCATCCCCCTGCCCCCTCAGTCTTTGAGACAGGGTCTCCCTGTAGCCCCAGCTGACCTGGAACTCACTATGGAGACCAGGCTGGTCTCAGACTCACAGAGATCTGCCTGCCTCTGCCTCTGCCTCCTGAGTGCTGGGATTAGAGGTGTGCACCACCACACCAGGCAAAGGCAATCCTCTTTTTGCTGGCATTGACCCATTGTTTTTCCTTTTCTTCTTACTTTAACAGAAACTCGTATTCCTTTTTTAGACTGAGCAGGCATTAGGCAAATGTAATTAATCTTCTTCAGCTGCTAGGAGAAAGTATGAAACGCCAATCAGCTTTGCATTAAGGATATAAATTGGTGTATCTTAGAAGGTCCCTGTACGAAATACAAAATTTAGACTCATTTAAATCAAGCAAGTTAGTAAGTCAATTCCGTAAGGGCCCAGCTAATTCTCTGGCCTGGAAGCCTTTAAAAAAGGAAGTAGCCCCAAGGTAAAAGTATTATAAAAAAAAAGTCAAAGACTCCTTCAAAAGACGTATCTCCAACCTGAACATCTTCAGACTGCTATTTAGCTAAGGGTAAATATCAGGAGTGAGTACAGAATTCAGTGATGTTCAGGAGTGTTATCTACCTAACCTGAGATTTCCAGACTAGCCTAGAAGAGGAGGAGGAGACAAACAGATGTCTCTTCACATGCCCCTAGTGTTTATTCTTCTGTCTTTGGATGACTTAAAAGTTATCTTGCATAGACTGTGTGTGGTGGTGCACACCTTTAATCCAAGCACTCAGGAGGCAGAGGCAGGCAGATCTCTGTATGAGGCCAGCCTGGTCTACATAGTGAGTTCCAGGTCAGCTGCGGTTACAGGGAGTCCCTGTCCCCCACGCCCTCAAAAAAAATCATCCTGGGATTGGAGCTGGCTCAGCAGTTACAAGCACATACTTCTCTCTCAGGGAGGACTATAGTTCTAATCATGTCAGGTGGCTCACAGCTGCAACTCCAGCTCTAGGGAGCTCTGTGCACACACACACCCACAGACACACACGCATACATAGAATTAAAAATAAAATAAACCTTTAAAAAAACTTCATAAATGTTAATCCACCAAAAGTGGATTTATCATGGTTAAAAACTGAAAATCAAATTAGAAAGTCCTTTCCTATGCCTATTATCTTGGAGGGTATTAACTACATTTTCTTCTAGCAGTTTCTGGGTTTCAGGTTTTATATTGAGGTCTTTGATCCATTTGGAGTTGATTTTTGTGTAGGGTCAAGTTTCATTCTTCTGTAGGTGAGATCCAGTTTTGCCAGCATCACCTGTTGAAGATGCTCTTTCCTCAAGGCATTGTATGTTCTTAGCACCTTTGTCAAACATCAGGTGGCTGAAATTATATGAACTCATGTTTGGGGTCTTCTGTTGTGTTCCACTGATATATGTGTCTATTTTTGTGCCAGTACCATGCTGTTTATATGATGACAGCTCTGTAATATAATCTGAGATCTGGTATGGTGAGTCCCCCGAGCATTGTTCTTTTTGCCCACAACTGTTTTGGCTATCCGGGGTCTTTTATTATTCCAATGAATTTTAGGATGATTTTTTTTAAGCTCTGTGAAGAATATTGGGGGTATTTTGACTGGGATTGCACTGAATCTATAAATTGCTTTTGGGAAGATGATCACTTTCACAGTATTGATTCTACCAAACCATGAGCATGGCAGGTATTTCCATCTCCTAGTGTCTTCCTCTACCTCTTTCTTTAGAGTTTTGAAGTTTTCATTGTAGAGATCTTTAATGTCTTTGGTTAGGTTTAATTTCTATTTTTTTTTAAGCTATTAAGAAAGGGAGGGTTTCCTCAAGTGCTTTTTCTGATCGCTTGTTATTGGTATAGAAAGGCTACTTATTTTTGTAAGTTGATTTTGTAACCTGCCACTTCACTGAAAGTATTAATTCTAACAGTTTTCTAGTGGAAATTTTGGGATCACTTATGCGTATTATCTGCAAATAGGGATAATTTGACCTCTTCTTTTCCAATTGGTACTCCTTTAATTTCCTTCTCTTGTCTACTGCTCTTGCAAGAGTTTCAAGCACTATATTGAAAAGGAGTGGAGATAGTGGACGGCCCTATCTGGTCACTGATTTTAATGGGAATGCTTCCAGTTTTCTCTATTTAAGATGATGTTGGCTATAGGTTTGTGGTATATACCTTACTAATGCTGAGGTATGTTCCCTCCAGACCAATTCTTTCTAGGACTTTTAACATGAATGCATGTTGACTTTTATTAAAGGCCTTCTCTGTATCTATTGAGATGACTATGTGGTTTTTGTCTTTAAGTCCATTTACATGTTTAATTACATTTATTGACTTACATATATTGAACCATCCCTGCATCTTTAGAATGAAGCCAACTTGATCATGGGGGATGGTCTTTTTGATTGACCTTAATGCATAAAGCTTAGTTTCCTTTCCTTAAGGAACTTGCAGTCCAAGAAAGAAAGAAAAACTAATAATATTGCACTATGGTAGTTGGCATACAAGAGTCTAAGAACTTAATATCAAAATCAGCTTGAACAGAAACACAGAGGTTATTAAATTTTTTTTTAAAGAGTAATTTTGTGTTGCTAGGAACTGAACTTAGCCTTGCAAATGCTAGGCAAGTGCTCAATCACTGAGCTACACTTCTAGCCCAAGGTTCTTATTTAATAAAGGAAGAAACTAAGCTCAGAAAAACTAAGCACCTTGACCAAGGGTTTATATTTGGTAAATAACGAAATCAATATTGAACTTCTTTGCCTCCTTATCTAGAGCTGTATTTACTACTTTAGACTCACTGCTCTCTGAAGTGTGACAGCTGCTTTATACTCGGTGAGAGATGGCCTCTGTTGGTGAAACTTCTTCCTTTCCCTGTACCCTCTCCAATGTTTCTGGATAATCAATGCTGATTTCTCTTCCATTTCCCTATTGTACTTTTCCATTTGACCTAAAGAGATGACAGACATTATTACAAAATACTGTTTCTCAAGTTCTGGAACTAGATAAGTCATAGTACTTTTACAGTTCTTTACTTTTTTCAATATTGCTTATTGATTTCCCCAATTCTTTGCTGTCCTGGAACTTACTATGTAGACCAAGCTGGCCTTGAACTCAAAGAGATCTGCCTGCCTCCCGAATGCTGGGATTAAAAGCATGAGCCACCACACCCGACTTTCCCAATTCTTTTTTTGGTCTTTTTGAGACAGGGTCTCCCTGGAGCCCCAGCTGTCTTGGAACTCACTATGTAGACCAGGCTGGTTTTGAACTCCCTGAGATCCACCTGCCTCTGCCTCCCAAGTGCTGTGATTAAAGGCATGTGCCACCACGCCCAGCCTTTTTTTTTTAGTAATAGTTTTAAGATTGCAGAAACTAAAGCTTTCCTGGAATATGCAGCTTCTTTAAAGAAAGGACTCATACAGTACTTTTCGCCACGGAGTAATGAGAAAAGGAATGAAAAGTCAGTAATAAGAACATTCTGACAAATGAATAGTCCATGTAAGAAAGCAGAAGGACCACCAGAGGAAAAGGAGAAAACATGTTGATATGTTACTGAATCTACTGTGTACTTCCAAACTTCCTCCAGTTGGTTATACAGATGACCTTCCTTTGACTTTCTGAGAACTGCTCTGTATACAGCTCAGGGTTCACAGTAACTTAAATGATAGAATACAGCAGTTGACCACAGTAGCAGTGGTAATATCAGGTGTATTACAGAGAAATCATACAAACTGACAGGATTTAATGGCTGACCTGATATTGAGTGGTGACAAAGGCAAAATAAGGATGCTGAATGGAAACTGTAACTGTAACATTACCTGAAATAGGGAATTAATGAAGGGGGAATTTGGAAGGCAAAGTCATGGCTTTGTTTTTGGAACATCTGTGGATAGCTAAGAAAAGCAATCCAACAGGCAGTTGGTCACAGAGCTATACTGTCTCAAATAGCAGGTATTAGATACAAGCATCAACTTACGTTTAAATAAAGTAAAATTTAAAGTTCAAGTCCTCCAACGTAATTGCCCATTTTGAAGACTCAATAGCTACCTCTAGCTTTGTCACTACTGCTATTGTATCAGCTGGTACAGAGAGAACATTTTGTTTGTGAAGTAAATGTTCTATTGGGTAGTGCTGCTTAGAAGCCAAGAGGAGAAGGTAAGGATGGAGGTCAGAATGCTAAGCATTCTGCTGATAGTTATGGATGCTGGTGCTATAGTTATGGATGGGACATATTGGGTAGAGTAACACATGAAAAAAAGAAAGGATAAACTCAAGAAAATGTATTTAAGGTAAAGGAAGAGAGGGAGCTAGTGAGTGTTCTTGGGAATGAGTAATAAAAGGAGAGTAAAAGAATGAGGAAAAAATTGTGAGGGATTGAGGATGTAGCTCAGTTGGTAGAGTGCTTGGATGCATGCATGAGTTCCTGAGTTTGTTCCTCAGCATTACATAAAACTGAGATCACTACACATTACTACATAAAGCAATCAGCATGCCTATAGAGGAAAAAGAGGAAAAGTTCAAGGTCACCTGTAGCTATGTAGTGAGTTTGAGGTCAACCTAGACTACATGAGACCCTGCCTCCAAAAAAAAAATTCTGGGGCAGTGGCTTGGTGGGTAAAGTGCTTGCTATGCAAGCATGAGAACCTAAGTTGAGTCCCTAGCACTTACATAAAAAACATGGTATGGTGGCACATGGCTGGAACCCCAGTGCTGGGAGCAGGGGTGGGGGGCAGAGACAGGCAGATTTGGGCAGTCTGCTGGTCACCTAGCCCGGCCAATTGGTAGGTTCTGGGTTCAGTGAGAGACTCTGAAAAAATAAGGTGGAAAGCAATAGAAGATATCTAATGTTGACCTTGGCCATACATACACATGTGCACACAAATGCACAAAGCACACATACCATATCACTTTTTTTTTTTTGTCTTTTTTGAGACATGGTCTCCCTAGAGCCAAAGCTGGCCTGGAACTCACTATGTAGACCAGGCTGGCCTTGAACTCACAGAGATCTGCCTACCTCAGCCTCCCGAGTGCAGGATCAAAGGAGTGTGCCACCATGCCCAGCAGCACCCAGAACTAAAGAAACTTGTTTTTCTAGCTTCATGTCCTCATCGCCCTGTCAACCTCCAAGTAATGGCTGGTTTGGAGAGAAGGTTATTGATCATTTGACATTCTTTAATTCACCACTCACCTTATTTTCCCAGCTCCTTCTAGCAACGGCCAATTGTGAGCCAAAAAAAGAAAAAAAGGAAAATGTTCAGTAACCTTCCCCCCAATAAAGCCCGAGCTGTCACTGACCCCTTCTGCTCCTTGCTCCTTTTACCTTCCCCTCCCCAAGTCCTCTTACCATTTTCCCCTTGAGCAACTATTGACAGGACTATTGTCTTTGCTCTTACCAAACCCACAACCGGTTGATTTGACATTGGGTAAGTTCTGACATTACAGAGATCTGCCTACCTCAGCCTCCCCAGTGCTGGATCAAAGGTGTGTGCCACCACACCTGGCTTAATTTGAATTAACTCCTTTCAAGAGTTTGCCTTTGGCAGCTATCTTTAAGAATAAATTTTTAAGTTTAACAAATATGCCTCAAAGTAAAAAAAGTACTCTAAATCAGAAAAACAGTAACTTTTTTTTTTGGTCTTTTCTGAGACAGGGTCTCCCTGCAGCCCTAGCTGGCCTGGAACTATGTAGACCAGGCTGGCCTTGAACCCACAGAGAGCCCACTTGACTCCACCTCCTGAGTGCTGGGATTAAAGGCCTGTGCCACTGCATCCCATGTAGAAAAATAGTAACATTTTAAATCCAGAGATTTAATAGGGCTTATCTGGGGGTGGGGGGAGAAAAAAAGGGCAAAAAAATCCAAATATAAAAAAAGAAGCCACTGTGTAGCCAAAACACTTGATTTATTAAGATACTCTTACATTCTTACATTCATAAAGTTGATAGACACTCACCTGGATGAACTATTTCAAGCATACTCAGGCGTAATTCTCGCAAAATTCTCATGGCTCGCTGTCTGTGAAGCTGCAATCTTAACCTGAGGTCTTCTTCTTCCTTCTGTCTATTTAGCTCCAATAATGTCTTTGTTCGTTTAGATCTGTGAAAAAAAAAAAAAGAATACCTTTCATACAATTTTATGAATCATATGTCCAGCCAAGAAACCTATGAAAGGCTTAGTCTCATAAGTAACTAAATAAATGGAGACAAAAAGTTTTTAAAGGTAATTCTTACTGCTGTTCGGGTATGAAATATATTGTAATTTTTTTTATACAAATTTTCTCCAGATGTATCTGGATAAGTACATCAAAAGCCCAGAAAAATATTTTAAATATACACAAAAAGGCTTAATAATGCTGATTAAATAATTCCAGTTTATAAAATTTTCTTACTGAAAGAATAAAATATGTAAAGAGGATGCAGTATTTTAGTAGTAAGTTAAAAAACTACTTTTTGTAGGAAGTTGGGAAAAATAAATATCATTTGTCTGATATAATCCTACTAACTTTGAAAATAGGAAACTCAGGTTGGAGAGATGGCTCAGCAGTTAAGAGCACTGGCTGCTCTTGCAGAGGACCCATGTTCGAATTCCAGTACCCACATGGCAGCTAACAACTGTCAATAACTCCAGTTCCAGGGGATCTGATGCCATCTTCTGACCTCTTTAGGCATTGCATAACATGGGTAGAGTTACATACATGCAGACAATATACGCACACATAAAATAATAAATAATAAAATAAAAAAAAAGAAAATAGGAAACTCACAAAGAAGATTTAATGACATATATTGCCAGGTGAAAATAAAATCAAGATATAGAAGAATGAGATAGAAACTGTGCTAAAAATCTATATTTATTTACACAGAAATATAAATGATTTTAAAACATAAAATTTCAAAAGTGATTTTTACTGTATGGTACAATTATGGCTCATTTTTACCTTCTTAGGCTTATTTTTTTAATTTAAAATTTTTATATTTATTTTGTGTATATGCACACATGCATGTATATAGGCCTTCACCTGCCATGGAGCAGGTGTGGAGGTTAGAGGACAATCTGACGGAAATCAGTTTTCTCTTTCCACCACGTGGTTTGTGGGGATCTAAAAGATTGTCAAACTGGGTAGTAATCACCCTTATCAGCTGAGCCAGCTCACCATTCCCCGGGTTTATTAATTTCAACTGCTGACTAATACATACTCATTATAACTGGCTATACAAATTTTCATGTGTTCACAAATGTTTTATTTAATTATGACCTCTATACATCGGCTTTTGTCAAATTTCTCCTTAATCACTGCAACTGTTTGCTGCTCCTATATATCACTACATAAAGATATCATAAACGCCAGTCCATAGATAGACTAATAGCTACACTATAGTATACACTATAGTATACACTATAGTGTGTATGTTCAAAATACTTTTGCACCCATAGAAGAAAACCAGGAAGATTATGAAGACAACAGAAGCAGGATACACTATTTAACATAGATTAAATTTGCATGTCTCCCTGAAAATATGCTTTCTCTCCCAGCATAAACAAACAAAAAGGAAAAAAAAGTCGTGAGTTTAAGGCCAGCCTGGAAAACATAGTGAGACTCTGTTTCAATAAAACAACACTACCCTCAAATAAAGCAACTTCTCCCCAAAAATGAGTATTTTTTTTCCTCTCTGGCTCTTTTTTTCTAGAAAGAAATGGCTACAACTGATATATTCAACTTCGTAGCAGTAACAGCCAGACTTCAAATTATGTAGAGAAGGCTTTCTTTTAAAAAAATGCAAAAAGAATTAAGTTCAATCATTTTAATAACTAATATAACTTTATAAAAAGAAATCTTTCTAAAGTATAGAAGGAAACATACTATAGGAAGTAGTATAGGAAACATGGTGGTTATTAACTGCACTGCTAGTTTGGTAGGCTTTTGTGTTTATGGTTCTTTTCTTATAAATTTTTAATTTCCATCAATCACAACTAGAATCTTCTCTGGGTTTTCACTTAGGCCAGAACTGAAGATTTATTTCTTTTAGAACTTTTTAAAATCCCTATTATCAAGGTAGAAAATACTTCAAGTATGTGTATGGGGTTGGGCTTCCAGAGAGGATCTAGGACTGGTCAAACAGTTTTTAACTCTCCCATGCTCTTCTGGAAAGTTGGAGATCAAATAGTTAAGAGTCTTACTCCTCTCAGTGAGTAGCTGACAGAAACTTGTCTCTCCTAAAGAACTCTATACTCCAAAAACTTGTTGGCTGTAGAACATGCAGATAATGATGTTTTGTCCTTTACTCTCTTATGGAGGATAAAAAAGAGATGGTCCTAATCAGAATGTCATTCTGAATTGATTCAAAACAAAACCAAATGAGCCACTTGTTTCTAACTTCTAATTGGTTATAGATTGTGATATTCTAATACTGAATTATCCTGATTTTAAATATATTATTATAGGAAACATGGTAGTTATTAACTGTATTGCTAGGAAATTTATTGTCAGAAAACTGGGTTTCGGAAATAATTTAGGTAAGTAGGCTGCGCAATATTGCAAAAGCATGAAGACCATGAAGGTTGAAAATGAAAGTAAAACACAAACTAAGAAGACAGTAGGAAAAGAGGCTTAGAAATTCATATAACGAATATAAGTTGTAAATGCTTGTTTCTTGGATTCAGATGCTTTAATTTCATGTTTGAAGACACATATTAGAAACTGATTTGATTCTGAGTACCATTTCCCTACTTAACTACATTCTAGCATTTTGCTAAGAGTTCTATATAACTCAAAAATTAAAAGATTATTCACGTAACTGATTTATTTGTAGGAAGCAGCACACCTCTAACCATATGGCAAGTATCATATGTTACTTGTGAAAAGGAAGTGACTGAAAGAGATTAACCCAAGAACTACTCATCTGAGTAATTTCTGCCTGCTCAACATTGTACCTGAGGCAGACAGAGAAGATACCATTCAGCTCTTTAAAAGCTCAGTTTCAAGGGGGAAATAAAGCAAATGTCATTGCAGTACCTAAATATCAGCACCATAATAAAGATAGGAGACTCATGAGCTTGTCCAAAGATAAATGGGGCAATGATTAGTTGTTTCAGAAAACCTTATTGAGAAGAATACTTAATAGAGCTCACTCCCAGTCCCTCTGTACCAGAGCTCACACCTTCTCTGCTAGCTTGTAACCAGCCCATCCTGTTCCTGCTGAAGGTGCCAGAGAGTACCTGACTAACTAGGAGAGTTATCCAGATAGCCTGCAACCATCAACATTTCCCTACTTTGGGACTAGTCCCAGTCGCTAGGTTCCAGAGCTCATACCTTCTCTGTGTAGTTAGTTAGAATTGGCCAGCTGATCCCCATCACCCCAACTTGGGCATAGGCTCCTTTGCCCTCTTGGAGAGCTCTTGATTAGCCTGCCTGGATCTATCAGGTCCCTCCACTTAAAAAAAAAAAAAAATCAAGAGAGAGAGCCTGAAGCCCAGACCAACTCACTATTCATACTGAATCAGAAAGCAACCAAGCTACAGACACAATATACACAGAATCAAACCTCAACTCTACGAAAACAAGCTTGAGTTTTATATCAGACATAAAACAAATGCAATTCATATGACCAGACCACAACAACAAACAAAAATAATATGAAAAACCAAAACAATATGTCTTCACCAAACCTCACCAGTCCTACAGAAGTGTACTACAATGAGAACTACTAGAGGAACCCCAGCACAGAGAATTTAAAAGATCAATCATAAACATGATCAAAGAATTCAACAAATTTAAAGAACACACAAACAACTCAAAGAACTCAAAGAGAATAGAGATAAACTCCTGACTGAAGTTAAAGAAAATACCAATCATAACTCCAGTTACAGGGGATCCAATGCCCTCTTCTGACCTCCACAGGCATTGCATGACATGGCTGCATTTACCTACATGCAGGCAATATACACATACACATAAAATAAAAATGAAACAAAATCCATCTTTTTGTTGTCTTTAAGAAACTCAATGTGTCACCTTCAGGAATAGGCACTACCTTAGGGTGAAAGGATGGAAAAAAATATTCCAAGTAAATGCCACCAAACAAGCAGATGTTGCAGTTCTATTATCTGACAAAATAAACTTCAAATTCATATTTGAAGTGATAAAGAAGGTCACTTCACTATTATTAAGGGATCAATTGACCAAGGCATTATGATCATGAACATATGTGCACAAAACTCTGCTGCACCCAATCTCATAAAACAGTACTACAAGACTTCAAGACATAGATTAACCCCAATTCAGGTGACTTCAATATCCCAGTGTCTCCAACAGACAGGTCAACTGAAGAAACAATACAGAGAAACATCTGAATTAAATGATATCATACGTCAAATGTATTTAACAGACTTCTATAGAATGTTCTAAAGAATATACATTCTACTCAGCAGCCCATGGAAGCTTCTCTAAAATAGACGACATACTGGGGCACAAAACAAACCTCAAGAGATACAAAAAAAAAAAAAAAATTGAAGTAATTCCATGCATTCTATCAGACCACAACAAAATAAAGCTTAAAATCAACAGCAAAAGAAGCTCTAGTAAGAAAATGAACTCATGGAGATTAAACAATTACACTCCTGAATGATAATGTAGCAAAGAAGAAATGAAAAAAATAAAAGTATTCCTGGAACTAAATGAAAATGATAATACAACAGAACAAAACCTCCAGGATACATTAAAAGCAGTCCTAAGAGGGAAATTTATAGCTCGAAGCACCTACATTAAAAAAATCATAGAGCACAAACAAATGACAATGGTACAATTCAATCTGGAAAGATAAGAACAAACCAAACTCAAACCCAGAAGATGAGAAGTAGTAACAAAAATCAGATCAGAAACCAATGAAATAGAAACAAACTAACCACCACCACCACCACCACAACAACAAAACTACAAAGAGTCAATGAATCTAAGAGCTTGTTCTTTGAAAAGATAAAAATAGACAGACCCTTAGTTCAGCTAACCAAAAAAAGTGAGCAAATCCAAATCAACAAAACCAGAAATGAAAGCGGAAACACCACAACAGACACCAAAATGACCCAGAATATTATAAGGG